GAATGAACTCTCCAGTAATAAATATTTTTCTGTAGATTTAATTTCACCATTGTGCGAATACACACGGAAGTCAGATGTGGAAAAAGACCACCCGGAGTGTTGAAAATGAGCCCTTTGAAGGTGCTTGCTTTTGAAAGGCTGACATTTTCCAAAGATGAGAATTGTGTCCCTGAAATTTATGAGCATTCTTAAGGGGTTTGTAAGGGAGAGGATTAGGGTTAGTGAAGTCTCCACAGGAATTGAAAACATGCAGCATGAACAGTCACCTAATTCCTTCCCTCTCTTTTTGTTTTTTTTTTTTTTTTTTCCTGAAGAAGACAAATGTGCATGTTTGAAAACAAATATTTTAATAGTAATAGATTATTACTTTTTAACGCATTACGATACTGCAAAATCCCTTAACAAAAATAATGACATTTAATAAATAAATTCAAGTCACATATCCCTGATTTGCCTTTGGAAGCCAGAGCCACCATTGCATAGGGCAGCATACTACAGCTGGAAAGAAGAAGGGCCCCGTTCTCTGGCAAGCCACTTGTTGGATGACATGCTCTCTGTCTGAGTTTCAAGGGTTTCCCCCAGAGTCAGAACACAGGGTGTTCATGCTTGTTCTTCCCTGTCCTGCTTCAAGGTCCTGTTATAGTCCAGGATCACTACCACCAACCAACCTGGCCAGGCAATTGAAGAAGTGCTCACCAGCTGGTCCAGTTAAACAAGGGCATCCTTTTAGTCCACTCAACAATTGACGCTTGAGGAAGCGGGCGAAGGAATCCTCACAATGAGGATTGTCCTCACTTTGTCGGTGGCATGGTTCCATATTGTATTTTGTAGAAAAAATCTGGACATGTTTTGAGGAATGCTGTGGGAGAGGGAAGTTCCTTACAGGAAGTCTAGACAAAGGAACATGTGATTAGATTGTTTGGGGGAGGAAGAAATTTTAGCCTTATGGATAAAAACCACTGCATGCCACTTGACCTTAAAGCTGGGGAACAAATCCTGGGCCTGTTTATTCTGCTTCTGTAGGAATTACCTGAGGTATCTGGAGAACCAGAAGCCCCTAGAAGGTGATGAGAGTGGGATAAAAAGGCAAGTAGTTTTGGGAAGAAGCACACCTGTAGGGACCAGTCAACACCTGGAATGCAATTTGAAGTTAAAGGCAGCAGCTAATCCTCAATTTGTATAATTGATGTAACTGAAATGAAAACTCCCTTTTTATGGGAGATAAGAATTTGACCAGCATGAATTTGTACTTTCTTTATTGTCTTAACATTTATGCCCTTGCTGCCTTCTGCAAGCATTGTAATTGAAAACTAAATATATTTGGAAAATTTTCCTACAGACCTTACTCATCTGAATAATTTGTCCAGACTTCAATAGGACTGTGAGTAAGAACTGGAGTGGATGTGTGCTTTGAAACAGTTCTGTATCTCTCTAATCTTGTTTTGTCAACTGTTGTTTGATGAAGCTCTGAAGTTACTTTAGCAGACATATGTAGGAAGAACACATTTTTAGGAGGAGACTGGCTGTTCCTTCTTGGCTTTGATTTATCTACAAACTAAAATATGCATGTGTGTGAGACTGAATCTTTTAATCCATATCCCTCTAATTTGGCATCTTTTGTTGCGTCTGCGTATTTCCTTTCTTGATAACTCCTGTTATGAGTATTTTTATAAGCTTGTAAAAAAATTTCTGTACTTTTAAGCCAAGAATTTACATAAAAAGCAAAACTGTTGTATAAAAGGCTGTTTTAAATAGATATTAGCAAAATAATGAGTCAGGGAACAGTTACTTAATTAGCTAGAGACTTGTTATCTAACATCTGAAGAAATTCTCATTGGGGAAGATAATTGATTTTGTACTCTTATAACACTTTAGATATAAATTCAAAATCTCAATAATAAAAAAAAAACCACACTCCTTATTACTTCAGATGCTCTTTAGACTTTTAATTACGACAGCATATACGTTGGCTTCTGCCTTTTAGCAGTATATCGGATGACATTTGCACCCACGTGCCCAAGATGAAGAACTGAGAGCTGTACTGTAGAACCTGTATCCGCAAATCTGTATCTAGAAAACATGAATGAGAATTTTTCTGTTAAAAGTCTTCCAGTTTCCACCAGCACCCACTGCATATGCTGAAGCATGATTTAAATCCCACCATAGTGGTAAAGATAATGGTAGCAATAAGCAGAGGTGATTTCTGTAGATTATATCACTAACTGTGTTACTATGCAAACCTCTTCAAAACTACCCGAACCTCTAAACTAGCAAAATGTCTTCAATCCGTGTCTGTATTATAGAGATGGAAACTGATCTCATATTTCTATGCACATATATTTGCACACTTGGCTGCCATTCCTTATTTTGCAGGTTGGTAGCATACCAGCAGTGCAACATCTGTTTAGCAAAGGATACATAAAAACTGGGGATAGAATAAAGATGGTTGTACCGAGCATCCTGCACAGTAGTGATTCTGTCTGCTACAAGAATAATAAGCAGAGCTGTAGTCAGAAACATTCCACTTAAAGCAAAAAGTTTTATTTTGGTTTTCAGTTAGAATCGTAGAATCATAGAATGGTTTAGGTTGGAAGGGACCTTAAAGATCATAGAGTGCCAACCCCCCTGCCATGGGCAGGGACACCTCCCACTAGACCAGGTTGCCCAAGGCCACGTCCAGCCTGGCCTTGAACACCTCCAGGGATGGGGCCTCAACAACCTCTCTGGGCAACCTGTTCCAGTGTCTCACCACCCTCAAAGTGAAAAACTTCTTCCTAATGTTTAATCTAAACCTGCCCTCTTCCAGTTTGTATCCATTCCCCCTTGTCCTGTCACTACATGACCTAGTAAAAAGTCCTTCCCCAGCTCTCCTGTAGGCCACCTTTAGGTACTGTAAGGCCACAATAAGATCTCCCTGGAGCCTTTTCTTCTCCAGGTTGAACAACCCCAGCTCTCTCAGCCTCTCCTCATAGGAGAGGTGCTCTAGCCCTCGGCTCTCCTCTGGACACGCTCCAGCAGGTCCACGTCTTTCTTATGTTGAGGACTCCAGAGCTGGATGCAGTACTCCAGGTGGGGTCTCACGAGAGTGGAGTAGAGGGGCGGAATCACCTCCCTTGCCCTGCTGGCCACAGTTCTTTTGATGCAGCCCAGGATATGGTTGGCCTTCTGGGCTGCGATTGCACATTGCGGACTCATGCTGAGCTTCTGATCAATCAGCACACCCAGGTCCTTCTCCTCAGGGCTGCTCTCCAGCCATACCCCACCGAGCCTGTATTTGTGCTGGGGATTGCCCCGACCCAGAGGTAGGACCTTGCACTTGGCCTTGTTGAACTGCATGAGGTTGGGTTGGCTTGGGCCCACCTCTCCAGCCTCTCCAGGTCCCTCTGGATGGCATCCCTCCCCTCCACTGTGTCTACCTCGCCAAACAGCTTGGTATCATCGGCAAACTTGCTGAGGGTGCACTCGAGCCCACTGTCCATGTCTGCAACAAAAATGTTGAATAGTACAGGTCCCAGTACTGACCCATGAGGAACGCCACTCGTCACTTCTCTCCACAGTTTCCCCGATCTATTTATCAAAGATACAAAAGACACCGATCACAGGAAAAACAGTATCATTTTGAACTTACAATACAGCTTCCATTGACAGTAGTATAGCTAATAATAAATATTTGTTGTAGCTGAATATTAAAATCCCAGCTGGGAGAAATAAGGCTTCATTGCTACATTAAACAATCTAATCACAATTTTACTCTGTTATTTACTACTGAAGGGACTAAAATCGTGGTATCTCACTCAGAACACATCAGTGTGAGGTGAAGAAAATACTACATGGTATTCACTGACCTCAGGGGATGCAGGAAACTTCCATGACTCATTTTATATCAGCATATATTAAGTTTCAAAACCATAGATACACTCCCCAGGTATTAAAGCATATATACGCCTGCCTTAAAATAAAAATTCCCTGAGAAATAACAGATATGAGCCTAAATACACATAAAATAAAAAATCCTTTGCCAGACTTCAACCTTAATGACTATGGAGTGAAGCAGCAGAAAAAACTGATTGAACTGATAAATGGATACATACATAGATAAAAGCAGTTACTCACAAATCCAGAGAATTGCTGTAGTAGCCCACATTTTAAATAGTTGGTAGATTTAAGAATAATACTTCAAATCAGTAATAAGTATGAAAATCATTTATATGCAATCTCATACAGAATATTTAGGATATTTATAAATAAGTATACTTTCAACCTTTAAAAGGAGGCCAAAGACTTAGAAAAGGCATCTGGTAAAGAAATAATTGATTTTTTTCATAGAATCATAGAATCATTTAGGTTGGAAAAGACCTTTAAGATCATCAAATCCAACCGTTTCAGCTAAGAATATTTCATTTTTAAGAATAATGAATTAAAAAAAAGTGCTTCTGTTGTTGCTTTCTTCTAGTAGCTGAAAATATTTTACATGTCTGGACTGTTTAGCTAGAAGAAGATGCTGAAATGAAGGGGATGTATTGTATTCTTAATCCAAGAAAAGATGTTGGGCTCAGTTTAGTTGCCCACACAGTGGTGTCTCACGTCATCTGAGATCCTATGAAGTCTCTTGCCCAACTTCTGGGTGCTGTCGCATAGGAGCATGATCTCCTATTGATCTCGTGTAGTATTCCTGACCTAAACTCGCTGTGGTTTTATAGCTATTGCAGAGGGTAGAGTTTCTTCTGGTTCTGATCGTCTGGAATATGATCTTTCTGCTGTAAGGATACTACAGCTGGATTTCATTACCTGCCTATCACTCAAGGCCAGATACTTGCTTTATATGTTCCATGATTTACCAGAGCTACCCTGGTCTGCTTCGTCAGCAGTATACAATAAGCCTTCATTTAGCTTTGTAGACTATAATAAATAAGTCATCTTATACATCTCATGTTTTCTACAATGAATTGTTTCTCCCCTTGTCCCCTGTGATGTTCTAATGTTTTGTATCTTTCTTTTAGGTTGGTTGTTACTTGAAGACCCCGAAATACCCAATTTGGTTGGTATGCAGTGAAAGCCACTTCAGTGTGCTTTTTTGTTTGGAAAAGGATTTACTAGGTGACTGGAAAACAGAGCGGAGATTTGATCTATTGGAAAAGGATTTACTAGGTGACTGGACAGAGCGGAGATTTGATCTGTATTATTATGATGGCTTGGCCAACCAGGAAGAAGAAATACGGTTAACGGTTGGTATGTACCACTCAGTAACTCTGCATTTCATCTCTGGTGGTGGCAACAGCATCACATTAGAAAGAAGAATCCAATAATACAAACAACGATGGCCTTGGGCATTAAAGATTATCTGTGTGCCTATTTCCAAATTTCCGTAATTAGTTTTGGTGATTAATTGGGAGTTAGATTTCACATGGAAATTTTGAGAATAAGCTCTTAAAGGGTTGAAAGTGAGCACGTGCTACTTTATACAGCTTCGTAAATCTTTCAGTGACACTGATTTCCAAGCAACAGATTGTGATCTGCCCTGCTCAGGCTCTCAGGACTATAAACCATATTTAATTACTCTCATTCTCGTTCACATCTTCTCACATCATTTCTACAGGCGGAAAGTACAAGTCTCCTGTTCCTCAACGCTACATGCCTGTAGTAAAATGAGCAGAGAGAGTGAGGAAGCATGAAATCCTTGCTTCCAAAGCCAGCTACTTAGAAGATGGCAGGGATCTGCTAACAAAGTCTAGTCTCTTACCTGCCTGTAAGCATACCTGGAAACACAAGCATGCGCAAGATCTTCTGAATTGTTACACTCATTTTTTCAGAAAACCATGCCAAATTATGCAGATGCTCTTACAGTAATTATGTATTTCTCCACCTGGAAGGCACTTGGACAAGAAGTATTCTGATGCTTAGAAAGCTCCTACTTAGTGCCACATTAAGATATTCTTGACCACTAAATTCTTCTTTGCTAATAATATCCTACTTATCTTTTATTTTCTTTCCTTCGATGTATTTATGCAATCTAATCAAATTCCTTCTCAATCTTAAGGAGCCACTTTAATGTAGTCCACTCTAAAGCTGTCTGTACTCCTTGTTTGCACTACATTCTGGTTCTTGGACAGGAGTAGTTATACGTGGCTGTTGTGTGTCCTAATTGAGTCCATGTGGCAAAGCTGTTTGCATGGTGGCAGTGCTGGGGGCTTTAGCATCTCACAAGATTTGGTAGTGAATTCAGTTGTCTTTCCGCCTGTTATTTATCCTCTTATTTTAATTAAAATCCCTGTCATTCTATTGTAGGGATCACATTATATATTATCTCAAATTACTGCTTAACCTTTACAGGACTATAGTTCCCAACTGGTTCCCACACTGTGTGTGACACAGATGATATAGTTCAGCATAGGACTAGAGAGAGTGAGACACATTTTTTTCTATTGTGTTGTACCATGTAACATACAGTCCAAACCAGATGTCCTTATCTGTCTTTTCATCATTAATAAATCAGGAATGTTTCCAAAATCCAGAGCTACCAAGCACTCTGAGATCTCAGGATGAGAAAGTGCGCAGAGTTTATATACATTTTTCTCTTTACTGTTCAACCTGTCATGGCATATCTGTATATTTCTCCTTAAAGACTTAACTTGTATTGAGAGGTGGGTATCTTTTTTGTTGCGGCTATAGCCTCTTCCAGGGATGTGTCCTAGTAAATCTTTTGTTATCTGTGAAGTTCTGCAAAAGGCTGTAAAATGCAAATAATTTCATCATTCCAGGGAAATGCTTTTCTAGTTCTGGCTGTACAGTAATCCTTTGTTAGGTCTGGAGAAAACCTGAAATTACTTTACATCCAAAAGGTAACATTGATCATACATCTAAACCATGCATACAGTACCAGATGGAAAGATCAGAATGCTAAATATTACTGGCATTTCCATTGTGGAAATATCAACAAGCTATTTTGGTTAGGCAAGGTTACCTAGAGATACAACATGAGGTGCTGAGTGCTGCACAGCCACATCTCACTGGTCCTGGTTAGCAAAGCTCTTTGCTTTTCACTGGCAAGAAGGTGAATTCCTTGAATTGGGAATCTTGTTTATAATTAGGAAGATTACAATCAAGGTCACATTTCAGAAAATCTTGAAGAAAGGGATAAAAGCCAGAAAGAAAGAGTAGAATTTCTTTTTGGGGGTAATAGCAATTGCCACTTTATATGGAGAGTTTGCCCTGCTTCTCCTACTCATAACCATTTGCCAAAATGTAGACAAGGAATATGAAGTTCCTTGCTAAAAGCAGGCAATGCTTGCTGGTGAGTTCAACATACTATCCTAAACAGAGGAAGGTTCTTTACGCCTTTCTATTGGGGTAGAAATTTCTGATAGGCGGAGAAGCAAGACAAGCCAGCGTGTCAAAATTAATAACCCTCTGCATTTTGCTCATCTTCTTTTTTCAGCTGTTTAGGGACTGAGTGGAGATTCTGGGATTTTTGTTACATGTCACAGAGAGTACTTGCATAAAAGAGTGTGTTGTAATGCTCAGAGATACTGCTTTCTGGTATATACAGTTAACGCCTACCTATGTTAACATTTACAATATGTTGTCTCCAAGTGAAGAAACAGGGAACTTTTGTACAATCTGTTTTAATAAATCATTCTTACATCTTATTGGTGCATACCTTCAACTTAGTACTTCACTATGGGCTTGGGGAAGAGTGGCTGGGGAAGAGTCCGGGGATAAAACGCCCCGGGGGGATTTAAAGATGTGTAGGTGTGGCACTTAAGGACATGGTTCAGTGGTGGACTTGGCAGTGTTAGGTTTACAGTTGGACTCGTAACAAACAGACAAAATTCAGCAAGTTGGCAATGACTGGGAAGGGCACCCTTGCTGTATGCCTATCCTGCTACCAGTACCATGGTCAGGACAGTGTTTGTTTCTTCTTACTTTGCAGAGATCCAGAATATCAGTATCAGGAATTCCTAGAGGGGTCCAAATACTATTGGAGACCTCTAATGAACCATTGTAAACTCTTCAATATTAGGGTAAAAGAGGCCTTTAAAAAATTTTAAAAGATTACTGTGTACATCGAAGTTCCTGAGAATCTAGGAGAAAACTGCTGGGACTTTATGTACTTTTAAATATTGTCTATTTCCTACTATTCCAGCCCCTACAGTCATTGAGAGTTTTCTGCGTGTATTTATACCAACAGGATCAACAGGCAAGGGAGAGCCGGGTCCTCTCGGTGACATGAGGAAGCCAGATCTATCTGAGACTGGCAGCTGGGAATGTAAGAGCAATTGCCTCCCATCCTGTCTACATCATTCTCAGTGGAGCAGACCCATATCCTACACCCTGTCTTGGCATCATTTGTTTCTCTCAACCTGCCCATTGGCTGGATGATGGACAGAAAAAGAAGAAAAAGACAAAAACACTAATCTGCTGCAGTTTAAAACGTTATACTCCAAAACAGGAAACAGCTGAGCAGACTGACATCCAAGCTGGTCGCAGGATGTTTTCTCTCTGGGAAGTTCAGCGACTACTTTCACTGTTGACAGATCCAGTGTCTGAGACACTGACCTCTCTGTTTTCCCCGGAACAGTGCAATTGCCTCTCTGTCCCAAAGGAATGCTCACAGCCTGTGGTAGCTCTCTTATATCCAACACAACTCTCTGTCTTCTCCCATCTGTGCACTGCTTTCTCGAAAGTTGAGGGAAAATCTTCTTTTCCAGGGTGAAGGAATCTTGACCCAGTTTGGGCTGGGCTTGGGATTTCCTATCCAAGGGTAGGACTACCACTGTCCTTATTTGAGTGATGAAAACTGCTTTCTTAGTAATTATGACATCAATTGCAAAATAAAAACCTCAAGATAGCCCTCCAGCATATTCTTTCACCTTCTAATCCCTGTTTTCTTTGAAACTATCTCTATATTAGTAAACTAACCAGTGTCAGGGCATGAATCTGAACACTGTCCCATGGCCATCCTGACTGTTAAGTAGTCAGCACAATTCTGACTAAGTTTCTGGCCCAGAACAACTAACACTGGGCACAGTCTGGGCATTATTCCCAACAGCAAGTTTGCATTCGGTCCCCCCCCTTTCAGCCTTTAGTCTGCCATCACATGAACAGGCAGTAGACCTTGGGCTAAAAGGGTTCAAGAGGTGACAAAGCCATGAGTGCCACACTGTCCACTCTAAGGTCAGCTCTAAAGCCTGTGCTATTTGCAAATAGCCATAGTCGTGGTAGCTACTCTGAGCGTTCCTGGCCCTGTCTGTGGTCAGATGGTGTGAATAAGGGCACGAGACAGAATTTGAGTGCCAGAAGCACTCACCTTCCAGGATATTTCAATCCAAAGTGGATACGTGCCTACTGGGTGCCAGGAGTTTTACAGTGGGAGTGGTAGCCCATCACTTCCATGGGTGGGGTGCCTAGAAGCTACTGTGGTGTTCTATATGGATAGAAATATACTCCAGCCACTAATAATGTCTGATATGTCTCGGCAGACACAACTCAGATGTGCACTGAAGATAAAGAAAATGATCTTACTCCTCCACTTGAGCATTGTATTAGGACAAAGTAAGTGAAAACTACATTTTTTTTATTACAGATATTTTCAATTATTGATATAAATAATATATGTAAGGCTAGAGTGGGATAAAAAACATTGCAGCAAGTAATCTTGCAAAATTACTGCTTGAAAATCATAAAGGATCTTAGTAGGCCAGGCTGTGATAATATGTATTCTACATTTTGTTGTGTGCTATTGTAGTTAACATCAAACTGACTGAACCAAGTTCAGTTTAAGAGCGCAACTTGATTTCAATAGATCTAAATATGGATTCCCAAAAGTGATTGGTTCCTATTGTAGAGGTATACTGGGAAAAGGAGAGAATTTCTTCCATCTTCATTAGTCTTTTCTGAAAAATATAATTGTGCTGGGGGACTCGAAGCATTCTCAATGCCTGAAGCCCTGTGCTCAGTGGTCTCAGTTTTCTCAAACTTTCTATGAGTCCATGGGCAGCACAGTTTCTCAAGATCACAAAACACTGTGTTTTCTGAAGTAATTCTTGACAGTTCTTAGGTCATATTCTCTTCTTAAATACAAGGTCAGTTCCTGTCATGTTAGGATTTTTATGGCCATTTTGAGGCCTATGTGGTATTAAATGATGGACTTTTAAGGAGTTTATCTAAAGTCATACGGAAGTTAATGAGAACATTTTCAGTTTAGTGAGAAAGAAGCAAAAAGGGGAAAATTAACTTGGTAAAAAAAAAACAGCTTTATATCAACTCCACAAGTAGGACTTTGAAAGCTGCTATCTGAACATCTTTGGAGCAAGAAGTAAAAGCCTCATTGTCAAAGAACGTAACATGTGTTCAATCAGCAAGCCAAGCAGTTTCAGATTTCTCTTGTAATTTCCCTCCTCTCCTTGCCACGATTCTTCCTGTAAAACACACCCCAAAAATGAGGACAGTGGCTGCCAAGCAGCGTGTTCATGCAGGGCTGCCATTAGAAAGTTACAGAAAAGCAGAAGAGGCATTCTGTAACATGACAGCAGCGACATCAATCCCGGCCCTGCTCATATGGATTGCGTTGCTTCCTCTGTTCCAGTGACACATAAGCATGACTACGAACTAAGACAGGTAATATGCAGGCTGAGAAACCCACACAGTGGGGTGAATAATGCATGCGACTACTTAAAGTTGCTCTTAGAACATCTTCCATTCCTGGCATTGCATCAAAGTTACACAGTTTTGGTAATGGTGATGTTTGTTTATTTTAAATTCCATGCTTTAATCTCCTGGAGACGTAAATTACCAGCAAATTCCAGTGTCAATTTATTTTGTTTGTAGCATTCTCAGGACGTGTCTGATTTACCCTGATCAGTCTGGCTCCTTGTTTTCACTGTTCTCCATTTGCTTTAAGTGTATTTATTTAAGCATGGCTTTGCTGCTAAAGGTTCTCCATGTTATATTTTTCCTTTTTGTTTTAAGAACTTTTTCTTCCAAATATGAAGCAGTATGTAAGGAAAAGTAAAAACAAACCAACCAATATTTTAACAAACTGGGAGATACAAAAGAAATGTTTTCTATCATACAACTATGGAAAAAACTAAAGTAATTTTTAGTAAAACAACAAAGAGCCGTTACTTCTTTTGACCAAGCATTCATAATGAAGCTCCTTATCAAACCTTTCTCATCAAAAACAGCAGGGTAAGTTCTCAGACAGTGTAGAGAATTTCATAGTCTGAACAGTCAGAACTGAGAAGATTAACTATTGTTTCCAAATGTTGATTGGGGTTTTTCCTTTCATTCACATGACTCAGTTCTGGTTTAGTCTGTGAAAAGCCTTACGTATTGTTTACCCCAATACCTGAACACCATCATCCTCTGGTGCATTGAGTTATATGCCTGACATCTGCTGCTGTTTGTTCCCTTGTCCTCTCCCAAAGAGAAAATTGCATATGTAATAGATTGTTTCTATATTTAGTTTTTTTCATTATTATTATTGTTATCATCATCAGAGGAGACATGTTGTTTTGCTTCTGCAGAAGGGGGAGGCTTATATTTTTAGCCCCTATTCTATAAAATGTCAGAAGAGTAAGCAGGTAACACTTCAGATGGCTGGAACGGCTCGTCACCAACAGGTACCACTTGAACCTGCAGGCTCCCAACCAGAGTCAGTACAAGTACATGTGCTTTTATTGTGGCTTTCAGCCTTAGACATCTGTAGAAGCAGTCAGATTCTGACCAAGAGATGTCTGGAATGTGCATCCCTGGGTTGTTTGGGAGATGCCGTGCAGACGTCTTATCCCATTCTTCCCTGAAGAATACTCTTATATCACAGTCACGATTCTCGGCATCTCTCTGCACTGGCGGAAATAACATCTGTTAGCTCTCCCTGAGGGGAATAAAACTTTGATCTGATATTATAATCTGAATTCAGCCGTATATTTTGTTAACCCTCCAACATCAGCTCTCCTCTGTGGTAGTGGAGCTGTATGATACATTAGTTCACCTGTTTGGCTTTGAAGTGAGACATCCAGTGGAAATTTAGTGGAGGAGAGGAGAGCATGGGCATTTCATCCTGAATTATTGGTGTTCTCTAAAACAATACCAAATGATTAGTACAGGAGATACTCTCTGAATGTTATTCCAGACTGAGCATCGTTCAGGGCCCGAACCAGTTCCTCTTGGGTTCCCGTTAACTCCATGACCCTTGGGTGAGGTTGCAGTGGAACCAGATGGGTCAAATGTAGTTTTCATGTTGCTAATCTGATAAATGATAATTGAATCAACAGCTAGAATCTGGGTTCCATTTGAATTACATTGTGGCAGGATAGTTTTGGGAAATGATCACGTTGCATTGTCCGGACAGTTTTGTTTCTGTCTGTAAGGAAGAGTCTTGTTCAGCATCTGTGAGTGAGGTTCGTCACTGTCTGACAGTTGTTCTTGTGCAGATTCAAAGGGGGAAAATGTTTTGAATCCATCTCCATAGAAGCAAACAGCCAAACGCTGCTTTTCAGTCTGCAAACGGGTCAGCAAAAATGGTTTGAAAATAAAGACAGGAGATAAGGCTTGTTATGAAAGTTACCTCAAGTTTTGCTTCAAAGTATAATTTTCTGATTAAGCTCTTTATTGAAAGCCTGTTTTAAAAAAGGCCAGTTCCTCACTGCATAGCAATTAGCAACATCTTAAGCCACAACAGCCAAAATGGTATCAGCACATGTTGGTATTTTCACAGATGTCATTTGGCATCTTTTGGGCTCTGAGAGGTCTCTGTGGGTCCCTCTCGAAGCATTAATCACCCTGGTGAGGTAGAAGGTGGTACCTCAGGAAGACTGTACACAAAGCTAAGGGATGACTTCATGGCATTACCTGAAAAATCCAATGGGGATGGAAGGTGGCGATTGTACTTCCCACTTGTGTTTGGTTGTTCTGGGGGTGATATTCTGAACCTCTGGTTTGCAGCTCTCGCCACTGGTGGATGCCAGACCAGGTCGAATATCCCTAGCTAGAACATATTCTGGTTTTAGCTTAAGATGTGAGGCATCACTTTTGTGTATTCCTGCTAAGCTCTGGAATGAGGACAATCCTTCTGCAATTTTTTTAAATTTTTATTTTCTCAGCAAAATAAAAAAAGAAAGAAAAATTTCACAACAGCCCTCAGATGGTCACTTTCTTTGAGACTTTGCACTGAATACTGCATGGATTCAGATTTTGGTTTTGTCTTACACTTAATTGACTTGGTCAGCAAGCAGACCGAGCTGCCATACCCTTGCTGACACATTCTTTCCTCGGTGACAGAAAGAATGTGGTGCTCTGGCAACTCACTGTTGTCTCCACCCCCTCACCAATGTCTTACTGCTGTGCACATGCACTATGACACAGATTTTCAAAACAGATACAAATACTTGACTCTGGGAATGCAATAGCTTAGTTCTCGGAAGATGTGGACCATGAACTTGCAAACGTGAGAAATGCCACCGACAAGGGTGCGATTCATGCAGTGGATGACTCTGACTGTACAGTAAGTTGACTCACTTCAACCCAGTAAGGTCGCTGGAGAGCATCATCCTGATTTCACCGCGTCTTGGTTCAGATCGTTCTCTTCTGCCATGATTTGAAGATACATTTGGTGACAAATGCAGGATTGATACCTTCCTGGATTGGTCACATTCCTGGAGTGGTCAGCTGAGCGGTAGCGGCCAACACACAGCCAGGAATGAAAAACATGGAAGGTTTTTGTGCACCCGCGTGTGGACTCATTTGGCAACATTGTTCTCAGTATACCTCCTTAGTGTTATTCTGAAGAAAGAATGAGGGCTGAGAAAAAGCAAAACCTCAGCACAGAAGAAGCAAAACATTGCAATTTAAGTGAGCCGGTGAAGGCTTCGAAGGAGCAAAGGTCAGGAGCAGAGATAACAGATAATTAAATGAAATGACCCGGTCTCAGGGTCTGAGAGTCAGAGAGTTCCCATCCTGAGGCCTGCCTGTATAGGAGTGTGCAAATTGCCTTGTAGCAGCTGAGACTAAACGTTCTGGTTATATAGGGTTAAGTCCCCATTTTGGGGATTCCCTCCAGTCTTTGCAACATGAAGGTACTTGATCTGAATCAGCTGCTGCTGAGGACTCTCTATTGCCTAAAACAGACTGGAGGAAGGATAAGGAGACTGACCTCCAAACTCAGGCACCTAAAATTAGGGGGCACATGTACCTCAATTCAGTTCCTTACCCTTTGAGAAGATGTGGTTAGTTACCCCAAATGAGTCCATCCTAGTGTCTCTAAGGTTCCTTGGGTGGTTGAGGGGTGTTGGGTTACCTTTCCAAAGACCTGGCTAACTGATGGATGTAAAATGATTGCTTTCATTTCTAGGTGGCAAGGAGCTGTTATTGACTGGAATGGCACAGAACCAATCTTGTGACTGACCTGACCTGCACTTTATTTGTAAAGACAAAAAGGAAATGACTGAATTAGCACATTCCTATTCCCACCAATACAGGAAATAGGACAAGAGTTGTGCAGTTTGTGATGAGGAAGAATGACATGGTTTGCAGGCTGGAAGAGTTTCACCTCAATCACCTCGTGCTTCAGAGATTTTGCTTATAATATAAACAACACTTACGTAAATTCCTTGTCACTGCCTTTAACATACAGCTTCTGAGAGTAGACTGAGTTTCCACCACCCAATCAAGGTTACAGATGAAGCAGTGAAGTCGTCAACGTCCCCTTGAGGTCTCTTTCTGGATCCACTCTGTATCCTGCAATTGTTTCAAAGCATCTGATGAAAGATGCTGAACCCAGATTTCGGTCACCGTACATGCCTTCTCTGTACTGCCTAGTTCTTCGCTTACAAAACTCCAGCAAAAGTATAAAATATTATGCAAGAAATAAATATTCTCTTCTTTACCTGATAATAGGAAGTCTCGTTTTGCACTAAACAGATTGGTAACCATATGGGCTTTTCAGAGAAAGCCTGACCTAAACAAAGTTCTCTTTTGTCATAAAATTTGCAGTAAAGCTCATGGTTTTGTTTTTACCAGCATAAAAATAATACTAGTACGTTCCTTATACTGGGTGCAATTGGTGTGTAACAGTGCCTCACACCAATGATGTAGCTCATTTTTCTTTCTGGATGAGAGAAAGCTGTATCAGTATCTTTACATTTATACCATTGTAACTACTTATGCACTCGGGTTTATTTACACCAGAGTGGTAGTTAATGTCTGTGGTTCACACGAGAAAACGGAAGAGCTATTAGGTTTGAAATTTAAAAGGTGCCTATCTGTGATAGATACCATTTTTCATTATTAAATAAAGTGCATTTACTAAAATGATGTATCACGAGGTATCAAAACAGCAGTTTGTACTCTGAAATAAATTCTTTAAGTGATATATTTTGGCAACACTTTACCAAAATTGGAACAAGGTACCGAACTGAAGATTGGAAAAAATGCCTTGGAAAAAAAGGCAGATAAATGCTGTTTCTAAGATTATTCCTCTCTCTTGAGAGTGAGTTTTTCATGAGAATTTAATAAAGAACTTTTACTTTCCGATATTTATCACCTGCTTCCCAGTCAGTATGCCATCTCCGCTGAGTCCTGATAAACTAGTTGCTATTTCCAAAATGGATTTCCCACAAAAATTCAATGTCCTACTGTGTTTAGTGTAGACATACTGAACTGACTATGCAAATACAAATCTCGGGGAGTTAGCACTTGAGCGAGATTTGGAAACCAACTGAATATAAGCCATAACGGAGTACCAGAAAGGTTTAGATGGTCTCTGAATGAACATCTGTCTCCCTCTTTGCTTCCATTCACATCCAGCTGTCTGTATGTCATAAAGCATCTCAGGGTTTCAGTCATTTTAATTTTATTTAATTCAGTGTAATGTAATTGGCTTGGTTTTGATCAGACAGGCAAACTTCTTTAAGCTTTGTGAGGTTAAGATCTCCCATTCAGCCTCGAAGGTATCAGATCTGAGCTGATATCTGAGTTCGCTACAGGGGTGTTACATGGCCTCTGGCAAACTCTTTCATCTTTGTCTATACAGGAATATATTTGTACTGTCAGCTATAGGTGGACTCAATATACTGACTTTAAGATATCCTCATCATCCAAACTTCAAGCATTCCGGCTTCCCAGGAGGAGCTTGCCTCAGTGAGAGCTGCAGTGCTTCCAGGAGCGGGAGATCCTAAACGGTCGAAGATCCCAGATCCAAAGCTTTTGTTCCTCTTGAAATTTCTATGATGAACTATAGTCTGCTCTTTGTTTCATGAAGCAAATGGTTTGATTTTTCCAGCTACCTCACAGTGCATCTGTAATGTAAAATAAGATTTTTTTTGCAGAATGCGTCTGGACAGAAAATAGTGTAGAGATAAAAAATGGAGGGAGATTTTTGGAACCATGTTTAATAAAAAATTCCTTTCTGGATTTTCCAGCCTAGTAAACCATTTACCCAGTACACCATTTACTCCAAAGCACTGCTTTAAAGTATGTCAGTTTGGAGATAACCTTCCACTCCCTGATAGAAGAGCAGTAAAGATAAGTGTTTGTCTGGGGAAGGAGGAAGCTGCCTTGTGACAGGCCAGATTTCATCTGTTCAGAGGAGGGGAGATATCAGGGTGTGATGTATACTTGCTTTGGGATGAGAACTGTGCTCCAGACGGTGGGGTGATAAGATGAGTATAAAGGGAACCCAAGAGGATTGTCTCAAATGGATTTCACCCATGAAGATGTCAGACTTTTTCAGGAGATAAGAAAGAGTATAGATTATTGAATAGGTCTTGGAAATAGATTGTTTTCTATGGTTTATCTTGGAGGGCAAATGAAGATGAGGAGAGGCCCTGAACTCTGACCATCTTTCTAAAACAGGCTGCAAAGAACTCTGAGGCTCCTTCATCACTGGTTATGGAGAGTACTTTTGTTGAAACTTAATTTCTATGACAACAGAACCTCAGTGAGAGGTTCTGACCCATTATCTGTCATTGTGCCTGCGTATATTCTGCAAAGACCACTGTCCACCTCTCATCTATTTAAGGTGAACTAACTCCAGATTGACCTGTGCCCTCACTCACAAAGGCAGAAATAAAGCCCTTGGACCACTTCACACAGCTGTCACCTGTGTGGGGTAATTCCACCAAGCTGGAGCACTGAGAACCTCAGCATTGCTAAGGTCCTTCTACCATCCTTGCTCCTGGAGCCTCAAAACAGTATCTTCCTTCACCAGGGTTCAATGGCAGTGTCCTTACGAGGCAAGAGAGATGGCTCTTGAGATTTGGTAGAGCATCCTTCCATAAGGAGCAAACGTACAACCAGAATATTCATTTAGATCTAGTTCTGCAGCAGAAAAATGGCAGAGAATTCCCTCAGCCACTGTCTGCATTGACGAGAAGACTTGCATATTTTTATTCGAGATAAAGCACTAGAAGTTATTTCCCTTAAGATATTACAGGGCTTTCTGAGTCAATGAGACAAAGCAGTGCAAAATGTTACACAGCAGTGCAAAGTCTTTGCACAGATCTGTGCAGAATCATATCCTCTTCCAGCAGCGTGCCTCTATTTTTTTTTTAATTATGTTTTCCTCTTCATTGTTTGTCATTGTCTTTTTCGTTGCCCAATGAATGTGACTTCCTGAAATGAACAAAGCACCAGCCATTTGATAATTGAGCATTAAAAGACACTGGTGGCATTTGGCACTTGGTCTGCATGTATGTCTTAACTTCATTCTTTTTTCTTCTGTGGAATAAAAAAATATACCCTGTGCTGAAAATTGACGCCTTAGCTAATGACATGGCATGTTGTGTATGTAGATGAATATCTAAGCAGAGGTACTATTTTGGTAAGGTGTCATATATGTCACCTTTGTACAAAATGTATATTTAACTTTGTCTTGTACAGAATGTCCCATACAAATAAAACATTTAAAGCAATGGTAATAGTAACAGCCCAGATTTCCTCCTCATTTTTTTTTTTTAATAATTCATTTGCAAGTGGAAATTAATCTGGGAGACAATAGTATAAATGTTTCATGGGCCTCATCGGCTCGGGGAAATAATAATGAAAATTTAAGCCTCCTCTTCTGCGAGCAGAACTGTGGTGCAGTCGGAGTGGGATGAAGCAGCCCACGCTGACCTCCGTGGTGTTACCCTGAGGCAGCTACAAGAACTTAAACCACCTAGTCTGAAAGTAGTTTAAAGCGTGAGGTTCTCTCTGACTCCACACACACGCGTCCACCATGTCCTGTTTGAAGCCTACCCAAGCGGTATTGAAAACTGAAAGATCTCATTACTCGTCAGTGTTTAGTCTAAGTCGCATCTGCCTGATTGAAATCAGGGGAGAGGCAGTCATGTTGCAGAGATTTATTGGGACTCTGGGCAGGATGGGTACGTGACACACTGAGAAGGTTTCTTATCCATCTGCAGGTTTACAGCAGAAAAAAAATGTTCTATTATTATACCAGCAACCACTCGTGAAAAAGTCATCACGGTGGGTAAAATTCTATGATTGTAAATTCAGACTTAATTTGATGAACCTGCTGGTGTTTGTTTTTCTGCCAGCAACCACTCGTGAAAAAGTCATCATGGTGGGTAAAATCAGACTTAATTTGATCAACCTGCTGGTGTTTGTTTTTCTACGTATCTTTCCTTACTGTACTGGTCAAATCTGGGAAAACTTTGAGATACGATGACTTACTATCATGAACGTACCTCTGCTGTCACTGTGTATTTTGTTCCCAGATAGAGCAAAAGTGACAACCTAAGTCTGTTGTTTTCAAGTCTTCACTTTTAGGAGGCAGATGTCTGTTTGCTTTTGTTCCTAATATACCTAATGGGCTAATGCGAAATGGCAGGAAATGGTCACTTTAGAAATCAGAGGAAAGCTGAAGAGCTTGGAAAAAGGACACAGCCATAAGCCAATTTTTTCAGAAGTGCTAAGTGGCTTAGGGGCTCTAAACATTCAATTGCTGGAACTGAAGTGCTTGAAGAAGGCGCAATTGTCTGGTGGTGGTTTGGAGCTCCATTAAACCATGAGGACCTCAAATCACTGTTTCTGAAAATTCTGGTACCAATTTTTTGAAGGAGCAAAACGGTCAGTTCTTCAGAGTGCCTACATGATTTGAGGTATTGCAAAGCCGTAACATGGTACAAAATACAGATTTACAGTATTTTGGTAACTCTGTTTCATTTTCCTGTCCCAGGGTAAGTTTGCTATGAAGGAAACTGCCCTGAATTATCTCACGTTGACCGCACCTGGGATATGGACAGTTATTTGGGAGTAGGTGATAGGAAGTTAACCCACACCAAAGTTTGTCTGGTAATCATTTGTCTCTTCAGTTCATGTTTGTAGGTACACAAAACTTAAGAATCAAGCACCAAAGCCTTTATGACTGATGTGTGTTATTTTGTTTTTCTGTTCATCA